TCTCCTTTCACTCTGCGCTTCAGACAGATTCCTCCTCCCACTAACTCCGCTAGCAATAAATCCTCACTCTCTTAGACCTACCGAAAACAACTGTCATGTCATGTTCATTTGAGAACAAACTCAAAATGTTTAAGTTTAAGATTTGAGGCATGTTGTCTTTTTCACTTGCGTAATGTTTTCTGAGGAGTTCTAATGACCTATGGGGAAAGCTCTGATAAATTGTTTGACAGACAGGAACTTCCAGATGAGTTGTGTGGGTGTGTAAAGAGTCGGGTCAGTTGGAAATCAAGCAGGAATACAGTAAATTGAATTGAATTACTAAGAGTATAACTAGACACTCCTCTCAGAGATTCTCATTAGCTAATAGTGGGCTGCAGAAAAGGTTTCTAAATTTGAACTTTCTCATCTTTTTTTGTCACATTATTGAGCATGACTTTCGCAAACCTTTGCGATTCCATTAGTGGATTTGCATCGGTCGCTGACACAACCCTCTAAACTGTCAGTAAAGGTGCAGTCACATTAACGAAATGTGACATTTTCATTTGGCAAAAAAGTTGTATTCTCTATCATCAAAAGTGTAGCGATGTAAAAAGCAAAGTTCACGCAGAAGTCACTTTCAAACCAAGCAGCTTTCTGTTGGTCAATGGGGCAAATCTGCATCAACCCATTTCCACATCTGCATGGGGAAATCTTTCACCCTCACGCAAAATTCCTAATTGCATGGATTTCTAATTTGAAATGACTTGATTTTAAACATTTACTGAACAACAGTACATGTAAACGTACCTTAAAACTGGTACGCAACATGCTAAAATAAATTTCCTTGGATAAAAAAATAAATACATTTTGTTTAGAGTGTTGCGTCAGGTACAAACAAAGAAAAAAAATTCTTAATATAAATTACCATATGAAGAGTTCAGATGCAAAAGCCTCTAAATGCCATTTGAAATTTTCTTCTTTAATGATGATTTTTATCAAACTTGTATATTTAAGTTCAGTAATTTCACTTAAATAACAATTAATAGGTAATTGTCATTGCCATTTAAGTGAAATCACTGAACTTAAATATACAAGTTTGATAAAAATCATCATTAAAGAAGAAAATTTCAAATGGCATTTAGAGGCTTTTGCATCTGAACTCTTCATATAGACTCACTATGTAATGAGTGCATTAATTGAGCTACAATGTTATCACATATAAAACCAAACGAATAAAACTGCTATAAAACCAAACCAATCTCTGTTACCTTAAATTATATTTTTCTCTGTAAAGCTGCTTTGAAATTGGGGGGGGGGATTGAGGGTAGTTACAGCATCTACCAGCAGGGGCTAAAGAAACTTTGATCCCTTGGATGTCTCACATCGGGGGCGTCCAAACTCGGTCCTGGGGGGGGTCACTGTCCTGCAGAGTTTAGCTCCAACTTGCCTCAAAACAGCTGCCTGGGAGTTTCTAGACATTAATTCGCTGGTTCAGGTGTGTTTAATTGGGGTTGGAGCTGAACTCTGCAGGACAGTGGCTCTTCAGGAGCAGGATCGGACACCCGTGCATACTACTTAGCATAGAGCGGAGGATGGACAATTGAATGGTACCAGTTAGGACTTTATCATAAAAACTATTATCAGATGCTACACAATTGTATGTTGTTGCTGGTGATAGTTTTATAGCACATGGTAGATTTATTTCCCGAGGAATGGGGATTTACAATAGCTGTAAGTTTGTATCATATCTATGATGGAAGAATTTTTTTGCAGAAAATCCATCCAGGACTGATTTCTGACCATTTCTCTTCCAAAAAGCTATTAACAGATAAATAGCTTAAAGAATATAGTTCCACCTATATGAGTGACTGATAAGGAAAATTGTAGTTCCAGTGTTCCAATATTGAACCTTCCTTCAATAGGATCATCTTTCCAGAGTCTTTACAATGTGAGACACAATACATTTTCATTTCTTGCATTTGGTAGACGCATTTATTCAAAGCGACTTACATTGCATTTCAAGGTACACACTTTTTTTTAAAACATTCTTATCAGTGGTTTGCTTTCCCTGGGAATCAAACCCATGACCTTGGCGTTGCAAGCAGATTGAGCTACAGAAAAGCATATAGCGATAGAGTTTCACATACTGGGTTACAACACAAACCCTTTGTTTTCGTAGGACTCTACAACACACTTTATCAGTCAATAGAGGCGGTAACAGTATTTTATATGCTGTCGTGTACTGGAAGCAGCATCAAGACTAGAGCTGCCAAAATGCTCTACAGCTTAATCAAGATGCCTGGCTCAGTCTTATGCCCGGTGCACATTGTATGATTTTGGGCTGTCCCAGACGAAAGATGACCAATCTTGGCGATTTCTGTGGTCGTCCAAAACGCTGGTCCTACGTTGTACAGGGAGAGAAGTTCAAAGACGGCTATTGTCACGCGACCAAAGATAGGCTCTGATAACTTTCTGAGTGTCAGAAACTTAGCATGATCATCTCACAGTGACTAACTAACCAATTATTGACTATTGACTAACTAATAAAAAAATGCAACATGAATTGGCATATTGATCAACGCAACATGCCGCTAAAACTTAAACCTACTGTACCTCAAGCTCCATTTCCAATATGGCATGCCAAGTTGGCCTCTTTTCCCTAGCCATGATGACCACCGCCATATTCTCCTCTTTCGCTTCCTCTTTTTTTTTCAGTGCAGATAAAAACCACAATTGGAAAAGTGCGATTCATCTTACTTTATTTGTTTACCACCAGCGCATGCTGATGACGTTTAATTCTTCTATACTAACTTACTTCAAGCCGATTCAATAGGTGTCATCATCATACCGTCTACATGCATACCCAACTTTATTAGATCCATGCCGAACATTGTGATTTCTAATGATCTTATGGGATTGCTGAAATCCAATTTAGGCATTAGTCCTAAGAGAAATGCTGTCTGAGGAGTGGACGCTGTCCAAACTCACATTTACTTTATAAAACAGACAAGTGTACGGTGGAGTACTTCCTCCTTTGCTGATATCAGGTACAGATCTGACTGAGAGTTGCATCAAACACTGAATTTGCATTCTATAAGTGTACAAAAGAGATTGCTGAAGCAAAGTTACAATCCATCAATGACTGAAATTAGATTGAACAAGAGAAAAAAAATCAAACTGCAATCATATGGTCACTGTAAATGTTTTGATATGTAAAAAACACATTTTCTGACATTAAAAAAGAGGAGTTTGATGCAGCTCCTTTAGTTTAGCACAAAACTGCTGAGTACATTGCTGAAATGAACTGAATGGCCTTTCATTTAGATGTTATCTAGCAACAAAAAAACATGCTTAGACCAAGCATTTTCCAACCAAACAAGCCTCTCCATTTCACATCCCCTCCCTCTCGCTCTTGTTCTCCTGGTGAGCAACAGAGTGACTGATGTTCTCATAACCACACTTTCCAGTCTGCCTGACCACCAGAGGGGCATTAGGTCCGCGAAAAAGTCTGCCTCAAGTTCTAGGAAAAGCCAAAGGGAAATCCTACTCCTCTCAGATTCCACACTTGGAGAGGTGACAAACCTATTCCAGCTTCAATCCTCAAGAAATGTACCAGTTAAAACTTCACATGACTCATTAGTGCACACAAAATAATATTGAAGTCAAGTCAAGTCAAGTCACATTTATTTATATAGCGCTTTTCACAATACAGATTGTATCAAAGCAGCTTCACAGTGATACTGTAACATGAAAGTAGTACAACACAGATCAATAATATTGCTAAACACTAAATAACCCCAACTGAGCAAGCCAAAAGCAAGCCAAAAGCAAGGCGACAGGTATGAAAAGGTATGAAATGTACTCATCAGTCTGTCTACTGAGTACATAGTATTCAACCTCGCAACAGCTCCCCCAAAAAACAAAAATGGCCATCATTTGCTCACCCTTTAGTCATTCCAAACTGGTATGTTGTTATTTTCGACAAACAAATGAGAAAAACACCAAAAGGCACCACAGAAGTAGTGCATTTGACTAAAGTTCAAAACTTTGGGGTTAGTAAGATAAAAATAATAATAATAATTAAGGCTTTTATTCTACAAGGAAGCATGAAATTGATCAAAAGTGACAGTAAATATATTTTATGATGTTAAAAAAATATTTAAAATAAAAGTCATTCTTTTGAACTGTCTATTCATCAAAGAATAACACTGATAAATGGTTCTTAAAAAGAAAATCAGCATATTAGAATGATTTCTGAAAGATCATGTGACACTGAAGACTATAGAAATGATGTTGAAAATTCAGCTTTGCATCACAGGAACAAATTACATTTTAAAATATATTTAAACAGAAACCAGTTATTTTACATTGTAATAATATTTCAAAATATTAACATTTTATTGGATTTTTGTTCAAGTAAATTTTTTTATTTTTTTGTATTTTTTTTCCCTAGTTTTCTAAGGCCATATGATAGCTTTATTTGACAAACAGACTGAAATTGTATTATTTCTAAAATGTTTGCTTTCCACTGGACCCTTTAAATTAAATAATACAATTAAGGTAGTGACAGATGGGAAGATACAAATTTAAGGCTTTGTTCATCACACAAAGCTGCTGCATGATAATAATGTCGTAAGGGTTGAAACTCAAAGTAATGTGTGATTTCAGTCGGCCCAGAAAGGGTTCTTTACATTTGAGAGAGGATACTAATGGTACCATCACTGTCATGCAGTGTGCCAAGTGTTATATAATAGTTTCATGATTATCCTTGTCTATTGAAAACAGAAAAAAACATGATTGTGCTTTAGAATAATGGAGCATTACAAAGAATACTATGCGTATTCAGAGTTTTTTTAAAGCAGGAATTAAAAACAGACTGACTGACCAGCCTATGTAACTAAAAACAAAACAAGACACACCTGTATCTCTGTTTTCATGCATCACTACTGCAGCAAATACAAAACTATGATATTACAGTGTGATGTGGGCATCTTAGCAAGGCATAAACTGCTAAAACTTACCTCAAGGTCATTAAGTGAATGAGCCAGACTGAGTCGTTTAGCTGGACCTGTTGGTTTTCGAACAGAGGAGCGTCCCCTTGTGAGTGCCCAAAATAAAGATCCCTGAGAGGACAAACATTAACCAGAGTTAATTACAATTCAGAGTTTCATAAAAGTGAAATGCAAATGTGAATAGGCTGGATCAAAAAATATTGATTTCTTGATTTTAATCGATTATCATTGAGGAATTGCTCAATCACTGTTTCAGTAGATCCTCAGAAATATTGCACATTGCACCTTTAAAACGTTATTATGTAAATTATTAAATCAAATGTTTAACTTAATTTATATATGAATACTCTTGTGTTTCATCTAAAAATTTCCAACTAAAATGAACTCAGAAGGATTAAACATGTCAGAGAGAGACAGATGACCCAGCAATAAATCATCTCAGTGAAAGGAAGGACATCATTTTCCTCTGTTCCTTTACGTGGCTGACAAACTGTTGCTAGGTGACTCCCGACATTGTTAATAAAGCTAAAGCTGATCCATCCGGATTAATCATATTGAACTGCACTAATCAACCCAATAGCTCCATCTGCTGTGCCTGTTACTTGCAGCACCATCTGTTCCTTGAGCCATTGTATTAAGCCCTCTAACTTAGCATGGTGTCAATAAACCCACCACTGATGGGCAGACAGCAAAGATTGTCTAGTTCGATTCTCCTAACAGAGCTATGATCTACTTGAGAGAAGAAAAAATAATAGAAAAGTAAAAAACAATAGTGGGCAATCAGTAGAAAGGTTATTACAATTGTTGTAATTGTAAAGTTATTTTAGTGCATCACAAGGATCACTATTACAATACTTAAAGGGATAGTTCACCCACATTACCTCATGTTGTTCCAAACACTAGATATTCAACCATCTTCAGAACACAAATGAAAATCCTTTTGATGAAATCTGAGAGCTGACTAAAACAGTTTGTAAAAACAATCCATATCTGTGGTTTAGTCCAAATTTTATGAAGAGACACGATCGCTTTATATGGTATAGGCTCAGATTTCATTAAAAAGATCTTCATTTGTGTTCCGAAGGTTTGTAACAACATGAGGGTGAGTGATTAATAACAGATGTTTCATTTTTGTGTGAACTAATCCTTTAAGGTTAATGCTATTTTTAAGATTCATTCATACGTAGTCCTCAAACCGTATTCACTTTTTTGCATTCACAATTGTGGACTCAGGTGTGATCCTAATTTTTATTTATTATAAATGTTATATCACTGTCTTCGATAAAGTTTTGTCTATCCATTTATGGTGTTTTCTTTTATTTTGGGCGTATTTTTGAATTTATTTACTTCAAAACGTACCATATTTTCTATGTAAATTATGCTTATTTTCATGTTTTATTTTTTAACTACATTAAACTATCATTCCAATAAGTTCTTAGAGCTAAAACCTAAAGATGAAGTGACTTTGCTGTCACCTGGTGTCTTATTTTGGCTTATTTTAGAACGCTCTAAATTACAGTTTTTCCCATTCATTTCTATGTGTGCCCATTTTTGACCCAAATAAAAGATTAAAAAGGTTTTTTTTCACCCACTTAACATTGTAGAATTGAGTCAAAAAAAAATGTGTGTGTTCAAGAGGAAAACTTAGGAAAGAAGCCAAGTCTTGTACCGCTCAGATCAAGGGACGTATTTTTTTTTTTTAAATAAATCAAAACTATTTTGCCCACATTTGTCCAGAATACGTTTTTAGGGTTAAGGTTTATGCAAATTAAACGACCACCTATCAACGACCTACAACACTTTGGCAAATCGCTCTTACAGTGGGTGAAATAAGTATTTGACCCCTTGCTGATTTTGCAGGTTTGCCCACTTACAAATAATGCAACGATCTATAATTTTAATCATATGTACATTCTAACAGTGAAAGACAGAATCCCAAAGAAAATTCCAGAAAATCACATCATATGAATTTATTAAAATTGATAACCATCTGATGAGGAAAAACAAGTATTTGACCCCCTACCAAACAGCATATTAATATTTTGTAGAAAAGCCATTATTGGCCAGCACAGATGTCAAACGCTTTTTATAGTTGGTGACAAGGTTTGTGCACATTTCGGCAGGGATGTTGGCCCACTCCTCCCTGCAGACAGCCTCCAAATCTTTCAGGTTCCGAGGTTGTCGCCTGGCAACTCGAATTTTAAGCTCCCTCCAAAGATTTTCAATTGGATTCAGGTCTGGAGACTGGCTAGGCCACTCCAGAACCTTGATGTGCTTCTTCTTCAGCCACTCTTTTGTTGCTTTGGCGGTGTGCTTAGGGTCGTTGTCGTGCTGAAACACCCATCCTCGACCCATCTTCAGCTCTCTCACTGAGGGAAGGAGATGTTGGTCCAGAATTCTACGATACATGGCCCCATCCATCCTCCCCTCAATACGATGGAGTTGTCCCGTCCCCTTGGCTGAAAAGCACCCCCAAAGCATGATGTTGCCACCACCATGCTTGACGGTAGGGATGGTGTTCTTTGGGTTGTACTCGGTGTTCTTTGCCCTCCAAACACGACGAGTTGAGTTGAGGCCAAAAAGTTCTATTTTGGTCTCATCTGACCACATCACCTTCTTCCAGGCCTCTTCTGAGTCTTCCAGGTGGTGAATGGCGAACTTCATGCGGGCCTGTACATGTTTCTTCTTGAGCAGGGGGACCTTGCGTGCGCTGCAGGATTTCAATCCATGACGGCGTAGTGTGTTACCAACCGTTTCTTTTGTAACTGTGGTCCCAGCTGCCTTCAGTTGATTCATTAGTTCCCCCCTTGTGGTTTTGGGATGATTCCTCACTGTTCGCATGATCAGGGACACCCCACGAGGCGAGATCTTGTGTGGAGGCCCAGACCGAGGGAGGTTGGCGGTGGTGTGGTGCTTCTTCCATTTCCTTATAACTGCACCGACAGTTGATCTTTTCTCTCCAAGTTGCTTTCCAATTCTCTTGTAGCCCATCCCAGCCTTGTGCAGATCGACAATCTTGTCCCTGATGTCCGTAGAAAGCTCTTTGGTCTTGCCCATGGTAGTGAAGTTGGATGCTGGTTGTTTGGGTGTTGACACGTGTCTTTTATACAGGTAACGAAGTGAGGCAGGTGTATTTGATGTAGATAATTGGTTGGGATTGGGGCTGTGTCTTAAAGAAAGACTAACTGGCTTGTAGGAGCCAGAATACTTGCTGTTTGGTAGGGGGTCAAATACTTGTTTTTCCTCATCAGATGGTTATCAATTTTTATAAATTTATATGATGTGATTTTCTGGAATTTTCTTTGGGATTCTGTCTTTCACTGTTAGAATGTACATATGATTAAAATTGTAGATTGTTGCATTCTTTTTAAGTGGGCAAATCTGCAAAATCAGCAAGGGGTCAAATACTTATTTCCCCCACTGTAAGTTTTTATATACAGTGTAATAATAAAACACATTCAAAGATGAAGTCATCAGATATTTTCTTTCTGACCTTGTTTTCCCCGTCCTTATGCTTGGCTGCGCTACTGAAGAACCTGGTCGTCAGCTCAAGCTCCGGGGTGAAGTTCATTCTCTGAAGATGTTTGAGATCTTCTAGCGGTTTGTATCTGAGAGTTGGAATTTGTTCCATAGCAGGCGGCAGGAAGCTACCTTTACTTTTGGGCTCATCGTTGGCCCTATCCAACAAGCATTCCATGCTGTTAGGACGAGACTTCTGCCAGCGAGCTTTTAAGCCAATGGACGGTCTGCGTTGACTGGTTCTCTGTTTAGGTGGCAAGTTGGCTTGCATATTAAGAGGAAGAGGAGTAAAAGCTGAACCATCCACCTTGGCCGTGACACTTGATTGAGTCGCAGGTTGAGCAGCTCCTGTTAGCGGTTCAGACAAAAGGCACCTGCATTCTGGTTTGAGGAGTGCGCTGTTCCTGTGTTGGGAATAATATGGTGGTGGATTGGGAATGTTTGGAGATGTGAAGCTCCACTGGCCAGTCAGACTGTCTCTATCCTCTGGAGAAGCAATTCCGATCCCACTGTCGCTGCCGCTGTTCCGTGGATTTTGTTCGTCTGGATTTTCGCTCTCGAGTTTCACTCTCAGTTTTTCAATATAGTCTCCAATGTCAGTATAGAGAACGGACACGAAGTGTGAAATCGAGTGTGGAGTTTGAGGAAACTCCAAACATCCTTGAGTGTCTGGATCAGGAGTGCAGGGCATACCAAAGTGTCTCATGATACTTTGGTGCTCCTGGTGGTTGTAAAGCTCTGGATCAATGAAAAAGACATGGCATAATGCCTTCAGGGTGCTCGTCTGTGTCCCAACGTCAATATTTTTGGTCGAATCAACCGAAACAAGGCCAAAGAACCTGCTGTCTTCCATGCAAATGATGCAGAGTGCCAGGTTTTCCGCTGGGTAAGATGCCAGAACGATGTCTCGGTCATCACAAAGCTGAATGCAGCTGCATTTGACCCTCATCATGACCAATGAATGGGTCTTCTGCTCAATACCAATCTGACTGATGCATTCACGAATGGCTTGCAACGCCTCCTCCTCAGATTGTGACGTTTCTAGCTCCAGTTCCATGGAGTTGATGTATCCCACAATCATTGAAACGTTTAGGATGCTGGAATCCGATACAAAGTCATTCTGACTCTGAAGGTCTGAAAACACAGAATCCTCGCTCACGACTCGAGATGCGTCATCCTGTGAGAGACTATCAATGTGGCTTTTGGATCTATGCTGCTGCAACCAATAAGACATATCTGGTTCAGACAAAGGTCTTTGTTTTTTCTGCTTGTCTTGATGGGCGGTGCCCTGATCGGAAATCTCAAAGACGGTGTCAAAACTTCCAACTGACTGAAGCATTGGCTCCCTCGTGTCCATGCTGTTGAGATTAGCAGGGAAGGGGCCCTTTTTTCCAGGATTGAGCCATGGTAGTTTACTCTTACTCTGACAACCCAGCTCCTCGTCACTGGAGCAGGAGGCCATGGGCGGCCTGTCAACAGATGTGACCAGCAAACACAGTGACCGTGATGACGTACCGATTAGCTTCACCACAACCTCATGTGATGCCTCAGACACATCTGTATCATTCACACGCAAGATGCGGTCCCCAGGTCGCAGTCCGACACTGTACGCCGGACTTCCTTTTATTATTCCTCGCAGAACACATGGTGCTTGGCCGGCAATTGTAAATCCGTAGCCAGCTCTGCCACGCTCCATCTCCACCCTGCGAACCGCCGGGCTGGTGGGACGGTCCAAAAGTCTCATTGTCGACTCAGCTGGCTTCAGAACTCTCATTTTGGTCATGAAATTCACAATATTAGCACTTTGTACAGGTATATCAGTTTCGTTCAGATCCAATTCCAACCATGAAAAATCATCTTGGAGCACTGCTAAGGGTCAGACCTGAGGGGAGTAATGTGACTGAGGTTAGCACAGACGAGACTTGTCAATGAAACACAATATTACACAATATACACAATATAGTTATAAGAAACACAATATATATGTACAGTACAACAATATATGTACAACAAGAACAGCAGACTTAAAAGAGTGGCCTAAAGGGAGACTATTTTTAACACATCTGTTTCCTTGTATTTTTATTATTTGGAGGGTAAACTGTAAAGAGTTAATGAAAGGTGAAAAATCTTTGATATTCCTGTCATACCATATAAAATTATATTACAGATTATATAATATATAATCTGTAATATAATTTTATATGATCTGTAATATAATTTTATATGGTATGACAGGAATATCAAAGATTTTTCACCTTTCATTAGCTCTTTACATACATATATATATATGTGTGTGTGTGTGTGTGTGTGTGTCTTGCTATTCAATTATTTTGAACAATTATCTACTCGTATTGAGACTGCATGTGTGTGTTTTTTATTTAGACTCATTTACAAATATTTTTTTAATGTATGGTATAATATTTTATTACATAAAACATAGTTTATAAATAGGGCCTATCCATTGTTTTTCTTTTTTATATCTGTAATAACGCAAGACTTCAGTAAACCAGTAAACATTAAGTTGCTTTAATCGTACTTTTTTCATATATTTGCCGAAATGAGAATGAAAAACGTGAATGACACTTTTATAAAAGAACAGACAGATAAGTTAACGTATAAGGTTAAGCATACTCAGTCGATACAGCTCTCTGGTGTAACGTAACTTCATTGCCAAACACTTTTCATTCACGGTAAGAGTAAACAAACTTGGGTTTCAAGCGCACCTCTTTCACCTAACGTTTAAGTAACATATCTGTTAAAAACAAATGTTTGCACCGGGCTTACCTGTTTTTAATACCAATGTTTTTCTTCGTTTATTTCGGAACTCCGTTCGCGCGACTGACTTAAACCACTGCCATTCACTATTGTTGGGAATACAAAGCGTCATTCTCTTGTCGCTATGGCACCGTAACGTTTGCAAAATGATATCAGCTTTCTCATTGGTCAACAGACACGTCAATCATGTCTGATATTCAAACATTTGAGGCGATCTCATTGGCAGTTGGAAAACCCATGCACGCACGCAGTCAGTTTTTGCGGTTACTGTAGTAGTGTTTGCGGATTACTTGTAGTATATTATATACTGGTGCGCTGCTCGTCAGTAAATTCATTTAATACGATTAATTTGATGATAGGAATTAACGTACATATATTCAATAGCATACATTGACATAAGCGTTATTTCATGTAAACTATGGCAAGATTACAAACGGCGAGGTCAAAGTTGCATTCAGGCGGTGAAATCTTCCTGATATACGGTTATTTGATCAGTTGAAGTGGATTTTTTAAATATTAGTTTCTTCTATTCGTGGTACCACACCCAAGCCACTGAGCACTAACGCCTTTCCTCTTATCAACAGGGATCTTTTATGAACGCCTGACAGGTCAATTCATCACAGACGAAGAAGGGAGGTGTTGTTGAAATGTATATTTGTTCTCCGTTTGCATAACGTAATGTTAAATGCTCTATTTGGAGCACAGCAGAAAGGATTATCTATCTTGTCTTCACATTAAGAAGATGAATTCAAGAGCATGTGGTGGTGCATTAACCATTATAATGTTTGGGTGCCAGTCAGGTTCAATCTATCTGACCACTTTTAGGAGTGTAGCGCTATAAGGTAAAGCGACAAAACAAGGACATCCAAGATGATTTAAAAAGTAGGTTTAAAAAAAATCTAGCCTAGTTTAAAATGCATGTGACAGGTTCTTAAAAAGTAACATACATAATGCAGGTGTATGGTATGCTACTCTAAACTCAGACTTTGATTTGGCAGATAATATATGTGTTTGTCTGTGTGAATGTTTATTCCAACATAAATCAACATTTATTAATTTTTCACAATCTTTGAATGGTTGGACCACCTAGACATGTATTTAAGTCATTTTATGTGAATTGCATTTTTATTTTATTTTTGTAGGCTATATTTGAACAGATCTAAACCAAAGATGAGCGTCATATTTTTGACACATATGCATATAAACTGCTACCAAAACAAATGAACTCTGTACATTTTGCTAAATTGTGCTAAGCTGTAAAAGTGTAACATCAATCTTTAATAGAACAAACGAAGCCTCCATTTTGAATCCTTGTCACCGTAATCCTGTTTCTATTATCACCAACCATTTGGTGTCACATGTCTACCATATTTGACATGGAGTTTACTTAAACACTGTGTCTTCTTATAGTATGCCTTAAAGGGATAGTTCACCCTAAAATGAAAATTAAGTCATCATTTACTCACCCTGGTGTTGTTTTAATGCTGCATTCTACTTTTGTGGTCTATAAAAGAAAGAAGGGCATATGGCATTAGAACAGGGTGACTCATTTATGACTTCATTTTCATTTGAGGGTGAACTATCCCTTTAAAAGAAGTGAACTTCACAATGACATTACATTGTGTTTCATTTCTGGCTGATAGTAGTAGCCTCCGGAATCTAAGACTCTCAGCAACAAACACAGCAATTTAGAAATGAAATGAACCAGATTTAAGAAACAACACATTTTATCACATACAGTCCTCGAACTGGGCCAGTACGCACTGGTAGCCGTTACCAAAAATTCTATGTTTTAATCTTTAGCTTATCCTCACTTACCGATACTTAGAGTCAACGCCTCTGTATCTGGGTGATTTTTGTAGAAATTTCAAATGTGATAAGTATTTGCATATGCCATCCCAGCATAGCCAATAGACTGCCACCTATAGGGCGCTGAAGGGCACTGTCCACGCATGCAGCTTTCAGAGCTTTTCAGCTTACTTCTCTTTTTTTTTTTTTTTGTAGTTGATTTGAAGCAGTTACTACGTTTGGTTGTTTGATTTCACCTAGAGCACCAAATAAACCAGAACCACTACTGCTAGCCGGTGCACAAGAGAGCACCAGCATACCTGTACCTGCACAACATAACAATCAACTTTAAACTTTTGAGGCATGAAGAAATACATTTTGAGTCAGATAGTTTGAATAAGGTGTGGATAAACAGTAATTTCTTCACAAATCTGCTTGGGTAGCTTAGGTTACATCTATGGAAGCTTGTTTCCGCCACAGAATGAAAAATAAAAAAGGTAATTGCGACTTTTTATCTTACAATTCTGACTTTATTTCTCAGAATTGCGAGATATAAAGTCGCAATTGCAAGATATAGTCAGAATTGCGAGATATAAAGTCAGAATTGCGTGATATAAAGTCGCAATTGCGTGTTATAAAGTCAGAATTGCAAGATATAAAGTCACAATTGCGTGTTGTAAAGTCAGAATTGTGAGATATAAAATATTCTAAGGGGGAAAAAGTTATTCTTTGCAATTGCAAGTTTATATCTCGCAATTCTGAGAAAAGAAGTCAGAATTTCGACATATAAACTCGCAATTTTGTGTCATTAAGGCAGAATTGCGAGATGCGACTTTATATCACGCAATTCTGACTTTATATCTCACAATTCTGACTTTACAACACACAACTGTGACTTATTTCTACCAATTCCAACTTCATATCTCGCAATTGTGAGACAAAAAGTCGCAATTATTGCTATTTATTTTTTTTATTCATTGGCGGAAACAAGCTTCCATATACATCTCATTTTTGAATAACATATTCATTGTAGAAGACTTAAAAGCACTTAAACAGGTCTAAAATGTACCGCTAACTAGTTGGTTATAGTTTTTATATTTAGTATAGCAACGCCTCCTCTGCAAAGGCAAAAAAAAAAGGTCCTTATTCCGTATCTGAGGTCGTGTCACTCAGGTGTGTGTGTTCCTAAACTCTTTGGGACTGGTGGGATGGGCCAGGAAGGGGCAGGCTGAGCAGGAATCATCTTCTCCAAGAGGTTCATCATTCTCTCCTGAAGCTGGAGGCTCTGCACCTGCAGGAAGTTTTGCTGATGCATGACGCGGCGGACTTCGTGACATGCCTCCTCAACGGCATGGCTTATCCTGCGTTGTTCCTGCAGCATTGCATCCATGACACGCAGCTTCTTTCGCCGCAGTGACACACTTGACAGCCTCCGCCTCTTACGTGGTTGTGACCTGAAGATGGACAGACATGCAGTTATAGTTCCATGATTATGATTCGGAAATGAATCTGTGATCTGATCAAACATGTTACCTTGTTTCAAAAGAACTTCCAGAGTTGTCTGTTAGGACTTCATCCTCGTCGTTGATGTCTCTCTCCTCTGAGGAACCAGTGTACTCTGGTAGAAACCCACTTGGGGGAGCTGACGGGGGCACAGAAGACTCGATTTGGGAGGTGGAGGGGCCAGACGTCGAGAGGCTTGGTGGGCTCATATGGGCATGCTCTGGTACCTTTGACAAGATCCTCTCAATGGATTTGTAGTATGGCCAATCAGGTATAGCATTCCCACCATTTGCTGTGTACTTCAGCTTCCTGTTAGAAAAGAATGTTAAACCATTGTTTTGCAAAGTACTTAAAATCGAACAAAAGTTGCGATAGTCTTTTCTTTCCTATTGTGACATAGATATCTGAGTGAAACGGCTTCTTAAACAGCAAAAAAATGTATGACGGAACTTTACACATTAAAGAGTCACAAAACGCTATTTATTGTTTAAATTTCTTTCTTTTTAAAAGACCAAACTTTAAAGGTGCGACTTTGTTTAATATCAAAAGTATCCGAAAAGTAACCTGGTCTGTCCTGTCTGTCAGTGTGTTGTCAGTCCGCGATGTATTTTTCACTGCATGCGAACATGGTGTGTGTGTGTGTGTGTGTGTGTGTGAGAGAGAGAGAGAGAGAGAGAGAGAGAGAGAAAGAGAGAGAGAGAGAGAGAGAGAGCAGCGTAGCTAGACTTTAATATATTACTGGCGAGCAACTGTTCGGAGACCTTTATCGACAGAAAACTAATAATTGTTATAGCTCAAAACAGTTAGTCTTATTGTTTAAATCTCTTGTTTTCTTAATTTACTGCAAGTAACGTGTTTGTACCAGACAACACTATTTTATCACGTGGCTAACATTTGTAGTAACAGTAATACAGCGTTTGTTTGTTTTTTTATTTTTATTTTTTATTATTATGCAGTAAACAACATATACAGAATTATAGAACAAACAATAAAGCCAGGGGAATAAAGAAAAGAGAAAAAAATAATAATAAATTAAAGAGAACAAATAAATAATAATAATAAAATAAATAAGTAAAGTTTACACTCAAAAAACATGCAAGACCTTTACATTACTCAATTATTTTGAAGAAAGAACGTAAACAGACAGTTTTAATAGCCTTTCTGTTAGCACTACTCCAAATAGTACAAAGGTAACTTTCCAATTCTTTAGAAAACACTATAAAACAAGGTATTCTGTTCGTAAATTTACACTTGTGGATGTGAAACTTAACTAAAAGAATAAACAAATTAATAACAAAAGCTTCGTTGTTCATCTTCTTCTGAATAAAAAATCCAAAAATGACATTTTCAAAAAGCAAAATAAAATTAGAGAGCACCTTTTCTTTGATAAACACAGAAACGTCATACCACAATTTTTTTTTTACAAAACTACAGTGCCAAAAGACGTGGGATACAGTTTCCAATTGTAAAGAACAAAAAGAGCAGGTAACATCTATATCCTTCTTAAATTTACTAAGAAAATGTTTACAACAGTAATACAGCGTTCTCCACAGTCCACACTCATTCACAGCGTCATCAAGCTACGACTTTGTTAATATGAATAAGCGTTTTTTTTCTCACTTTTTTATTTAATTTTAAGAATTACCATTTCAGTCAGGGCAGGGTACAATGAATAAACAAAATATACAGATATGAAAAGACAAACAAAGCAGTGACAAACTTAAGTTAAACAAAAATGTGAAAAATGTTTATATACCGACGTCACATTCTGGGCGGTAACCATTATGGAGGCACTCGGGTGTAAACAACAGCATGGATTGCACTATTGTATTTATGTACTACTACTACTGAACACATTGTTACAGTAAAAAACACAGAAAAACCCGTGGTAGGTGCGAAATCAAATAGAAAAGGACTTACCAAGCAGGAGAGAGCGCGATATTTTGACAAACTAAAGTTAATAAGTGGTAAAGGTCCGAACGAGCTAGCTTCTCTAGCCCTTAACGTTACTGCAATTCTTCCTTGAGTGTGGACATCATTTTAGATCAAATTCCAATCAGATTTGGAGAGACAGTGTGAATGTAGCCATAGTAAAAACGTTAACATTTTAGCCATAGTAAAAGCTTCATTTGCTACACATGTGACTAATGAGCTGGTGCTGTGCCTCTCTCGACCACAAACGCCTTTCATCATTTTTTGCACTCTTGTCTTTAACTTTTGGTAGTCTATAGAACTCAAAAGGTATTTCCCGATGCGACCGATTAGTAAAGACCAAAACTCGACCATTTTTCAGCAGAAATAATCAGCCAAATTTGCGAGTCCGTTCAGTTCAATGGCATTGTTTATGTTCTGTGCCTCCAAAATGGCCAACTTCCGGATTGATGACGCGTCGTATCTTAAAGGGATACTCCACTTTTTTGGAAATAGGCTCATTTTACCACTCCCCCAGAGTTAAACACTTGGGTTTTCGAATCTATTTAGCCGATTTTTTTGATATTTAGAAGAATATCAGTAACCAGACAGTTTCTGGTCTCATTGACTTCCATAGTATATTTTTTTCCTACTATGGAAGTCAATGAGACCAGAAACTGTCTGGTTACTGATATTCTTCTAAATATAAAAAATAAATAAATAAATAAATCTGAATGGATTTGAAAACGGTAAAACTCAACTGTTTAACTCAGGGGGAGTGGTAAAATGAGCCTATTTCCAAAAAAGTGGAGTATCCCTTTAAGAGAAAGAATCAGAAACGGTAAGTCAGTTATTACCTATTACTACACTATTCTGGACTAAACATGGATGTTTGGATAAAGATATAAGCCATGATAGTGACTTGGGAATTTGTGAGGCTATTGGTTACATTTAAAAGCTATATTATGCAGTTGTAAACACCGATTGTTTAGTGTACTACGATAGTTGAATTCTGTATAAATTTTTTTTTTTTTTTTTTTTTTTTGAATTCTGTATAAAATGGCCAGTGTAATAGTAACTATTCCTAACTTTTAATAAACGGAATAAAATATAAATGAACTACGTCATATTTTACATCTCTCTAATCGAATTGAGCATGCAACAAACTACACAGAGAAAATAAAATATGTACCTGTCACGCTTTTGGATATGCTATTATAATTGCGAAAATATTGTAGCCTATATTTGGCCAAATATCTGGCAATGCACAACTGCACAAAAAATAATGTATCCTTTGTAATTTTCGTCATCACCACAGTCCTGTTTTGTTTGTTTGTAGCTTGATTCTTTGGTCCACGCACACGCAGCAGAGACGAGTGATCAACGCTTGGTAGTGCGCTGCGCATGCGTCGAACGCGTGCAACCATCCTCGCAGCCAGTGGTGTCCGCTTTGAAAGACTTGCGAAGACTGAGTTTAAGTGTAGTCTCGCGTAGCCAGACCTTCAGACTGACGGTTCCGTGGGCGTTCCGTGTTCAACGTTCCGTGGGCGTGACGTCTGAGGCTGAGACTAGTTTAAGTGTTACTTAAACTAAGTTTATCTGAACATTTATCTTATAGTCAATTTATTTAAAAATGTCTACAGCTTACTGAGTTGTAAGAGTAGACACTTGTAGTGATAACCAGATTATTGAAAATTATTTTTTAAAAGTCTTTTAAAGCCTTTCATAGATAGATAGATAGAGAGATAGAGTGTATTTACTTGCCTGTATTGGAAAGTCATGTTGGTAATCTTCATCTTAATCTCCTCCCTGTGTCGCTGTTCGCCAGTTAAGTCATAAAGTTGCTTAGCCATTGTCTCGTAGATCTTAGCATTGCGCTTAGCCTTCTTTAGCTCTGCCACATACTCTTCCCAAATGTACACAAGAGCTTTCATCTCGGAATCCGTCCAGTTACGAGCTCTCCTGTGCTTCTCGCTTGAGCCCGGCACAGTGTAACTAAAGCAGAGGTCCTCAGAGGCCATTTTATGAACAGATTAAATATCTTTGCACTGAGAGAAAACCAAGCTTAAATCCTAAACCTGAACAGTCTGTTTTCCAGGCCTTACTTTGCTTTCTCAAGCATGTGCTTGTGTGTGCTAGAGACAGGCCTTTGCTGCCCTTCCCCCCATGCTTAGTTAAGAGGCCTCAAAATGGCACCTCGAGGGCTGGAGCAATCGCTTTAAAAGCTTTTAAAGAGGGAAGTTCGTCAGCATGATGTCAAGTTACCCTGGCAACAGTCTGCTAAGGCCCTCCTCTTCTAGCCAAACCCTTCCCCTTCTCCCCTACTCTTTTGTCTCTGTCACTCTGCAGCAAAAAGCTTTTAGCTGAAAGCCAACAAAAGTGGGTCGGGCAGGCTGAAAATCTGCATGTGAAATACGACTCCTCTGGGGACTGGAAAACGGCAGAGTGTGCTGTTGCCAAGGCAACAGCTCTATCCCCAGACCACTTAGTCTGAGCGTTTATGAGCTTAAAAGCTTTTAATAGAGAAGAAGCTCGACTAATGTTGCAGAGAAAGTGCATTTGCACCTAATATAATGCCTTTAAAACTACAGGATAACTGATGTATTGAAACAAAAATGATGTTGTTTACGTGTCACACAGACTGATTTGGCTTTAAACTCAGTCGCAGGGCTCTAAAAAGGTTTTGGAAACAACATGCACATAAATATTGCATGCTTGTTACTGCTTTAAACTAGTTTAGGTTAAAGTAATTACTCCTCTGGCCCTGTGCCCTTTTTACCACAGTCCATTTGCCCCAAACACTTCCCCCTCTCCGACCTCTACAGTGTTTCAGATTATGTCCTCTATCACGGACAACAGGGGGTCTCGGATAGGACATTGGGGGTAGTGCTATTGGGGGAGGGTGTATCTTGTGCATTCTTTGACAGATTACCAGCTGAGATGACACACGTGCAGGTGCTTCTTTATGGCTAACTCAGTGTTAACCACATTATGAGCTTCACCCATCTGTCTAGAGACGCATCACCTTCACATTCAACTTCACTCTGTTTTGAGATATTCCAGTCCGAGATGAGCACAGATCTCATTCAGTGTTCTTCTGAGCATAAGAAAATATGCAAGAAATGTTATACTGTTCTCTGTGCAAGTAACTATTAAGTGGGCTGGACGATAGTTGATATAATGTTGATTTATTTAAACATTTGTATAGATAGATAGATAGATAGCTACGGTAGATAGATAGATAGATAGATAGATAGATAGATAGATAGATAGATAGATAGATAGATAGATAGATAGATAGATAGATAGATAGATAGATAGATAGATAAACGATAAATATATAGACAGATAGATAGCTATGGTAGCTAGCTAACTAGCTAGACAGACAGACAGATAGAAAAACAGATAAATAGACAGACAGCTGATAGATAGAGACAGATATATAGACAGACAGATAGATAAATAGAACAACAGATATAAAGATAGATAGATAGATAGATAGATAGATAGATAGATAGATAGATAGATAGATAGATAGATAGATAGATAGATAGATAGATAGATAGATAGATAGATAGATAGATAGATAGATAGACAGACGATAGATATATAGACAGACAGACAGATAGATAAATAGAACAACAGACAGATAGATAGATAGATAGATAGATAGATAGATAGATAGATAGATAGATAGATAGATAGATAGATAGATAGACAATAAATATATAGACAGATAGATAGCTATGGTAGCTAGCTAGCCAACTAGCTAGACAGACAGATAGAAAAACAGATAAATAGACAGACAGCTGATAGATAGAGACAGATATATAGACAGACAGATAGATAAATAGAACAACAGATATAAAGATGGATAGATAGATAGACAGATAGATAGACAGACGATAGATATATAGACAGACAGACAGATGATATATAGAGACAGATACATGGACAGACAGATAGATAAATAGAACAACAGATAGATAGATAGAACAACAGATAGATAGATAGATAGATCGATAGATAGATAGATAGATAGATAGATAGATAGATAGATAGATAGATAGATAGATAGATAGATAGATAGATAGATAGATAGATAGATAGATAGATAGATAGATCTGATCCAGGGTAATGTAATGTAGAACATTAAGAGCATTAATTATCAGACAGGATCTTCTGCCTGTAGAGGAAATGACCTGGTCTTAAGAGGGACCAGATGGTCAGTTAATTTGTGTGATGTTCAAATTTTAATTCAGAGAGAGAGAGCAGCCCTTTTGCCATATTAATAGTTTCTGTCTAGTGCATATTTTGGGCCTTTTTGAGAATACTGGTGTAAAATGGCTGTCCACCAACAGTTTTGTCTAGTAGTAATATAGTTTTTTTTGACATTTCGAGAACTATGCAAAATAATTGTTTATATTGTCCATATTAAATTAATATAATTAAGATATTTTAGATATATTGGTACTGGATCGGTCATAAGCCACAAGGTAATTGCACCAGGAGTGTGTACCATGCCTGTTATTTTGATTTATAAAACTTTTAGTTAAACATCGCCCCCTGCTGAGTATGTTATTTAGTGCCTGACTGACATTAGTAAACTACGTTAAAGGCCCACATTTCGGTTGAGATAACAAAACAAGAACTGCAGCCAGACTGAAAGGAAAATAAATCCAAACCAGCATTTGCTTTTCTTGAGTACCTTTAATATTTATTCAGTATTCCAGCAGCTATTTAATATGCAAGAGTTGTTTTGTACATTTTATATTATACAGCAACATTAGTTCTCCTAGCTCCATTCTCTGTCTTCACAGTTTTCTGTCCTGGCAGCGATGCCATTTTCACTGTCTCCATAGCAACTATCATGAGGAACTTGGCTGGACAATAAATCAAATCATACAAGTGCAATAAAAGAAATTAAAAACTTCACAGTGGAAAAAAACTATTAGCTTATAAGAAAAAAGTTAAAGTATATTATATAAAAAAAAAAAAAATGATACAAGAAAAATAATTACTCATTTACTTCCACAACATGCTTTTGGATGCAGGGGGAAAAATAATTGTGTACATAAAACACATACATACAGCACATCAACTATAAATGTAAGCTTACACATTTGCATGTACATACATGCAGACGTTTCGTCAACAGCTTTGTAAACAGGTCCACCATAGACCTACAGAGTACCGACCAGAAAGGCAACCGGAGACAGTTTGTCCACAGGATTGAACTTCAACAGAATTAACATGGTAGGTTAGTTGCTCTTAGTAGCCATTTAAAAGGCTAACACCTTCAGCTTTGGAGAATCTAAATCTTATTGGTTCCTAAACCGATGATGTCACAATAAAACACCATAATTGAGCTTGGCTCAGTTTCACACAGTCCCTGTTTGGAACTCTCCGACAGTAACTTCAATCACAAAGAAACAAGTTAATATTTTCACTAAATTTGTGCGTCGTCCATCCATTGGCCGCCAGTTTCAACGTTTCTTTAATACTGATTTAACGATGCAGTTTCAGTTGAATGTCTCTCTCTCTCTCTGTCCCTGGAAAGAGATTGGTTCCCATCCCAAAACGAATGACAAAACAGGTTTCTCGTTTCGACAATATAAAATAATGTAAGAGATACAATAAAATAAGTACAAATATAAGTGGTTAATGTAAATACTGCAAACATCTCAAACTATGTAGTCAAATAAATACCATGGTAATTACTGGAATGTATATGCTAACAAGTGCCACTATGGGGCAGTAAACATTCACGTTCCGGCATCTAAAACTGCAACTGGAGCTTCAAAGTTGGCAACGAGCGGCGGCCTCGGTTGCACCAAGGATGTAATCGCCTCTGTGCCAAATGATACAACTACATGCACAGAAGTACCTTTGTTTTGCGTATCCTTCACAGAACTAATACATTATATGGTGGAGAAGACACCGGCATCTACGTCTGCAACCCACTAGCGACAAAATCGCACTGTACAAATCGAGTTTTTGTGGGGAGGACGTTAACGGGTCCTTCGAGTTTTCGAAAAGATAACGGCACAGTGCAATGTTGTTTGTTAACTACAGTTCTTGCAGCTGGCCGTCCCACTTCTGACAGGCTCGTACAGTTTCTTTAGCAGTAGAAGGGCTATTATTGTCACTAAAAAAAAAAAAAAAAACGTTGAGCGATGATGACTTATAAACCTTTCAGAGTTCTTAAACTTCGTTTTGTTTTTCGTTTTTTGATTTCGAAAGTGTCTCAGGCATTCTGAGAAACAAGAGCTGGGAATTGAATTCAGATTTGGCAACACTAACACAAAAAACATCCAGTCTTTGTCGTCCGACTTGAATGTTCAGTCCCTCAGACACTCTTCCTCAGTGATGCCTTGCGCCCTCAGCTCCTCCAGGACGTTGTCAAGGTGGCCGGAGTCTGGGTAACCGTGGCCGGTCAGGTTGGAGCCGAACTCGGTTTTGTGATGCACCTCGTTCCAAATGACCGTATCCGTCTCTCCTGTAGTGCTGGATGTGCCCACCGAAAAGATGAGCCGACGGTCCCAAGCAACCAGCAGCAGCTTCAGCACCTTCAAGAGCAGGGATTGATTAGAATAAAAGCTGAAAAACCTTACATTCAAGGTTGAATTGGAATATGTACTTTAAAGAGTACCTATTATGCCCTTCTACAAAGTCTCAATTTTGAATAGTAGAATAGGTTTATATGGGGCCTTATAAGCACCCTTCTATATGGTTGTATTTGAGGGGCTCTGTAGTGCACCCCTTTTCACCTACAGTAACCAATTTTCATACACTTATAGATCTCATCAGGCCAAATACCTTTCACACTCTAAGTCATAAGATTCACCCAACAGGAAGTCAGATATTATGGGTTGTTTGAAAAACACATGCTCTGGAATTTGATAAACTCCTAGGTAGGGGTGTAACGGTACATGTATTCGTATTGAACCGTTTCGGTTCGAAGCTTCCGGTTCGGTACGCATACAAACCGAACGGTTGTTTGGACTATTTTTCCTGCCGGCAAAATTCGTGCTGACGCGGCCAACACAACGTTGCGCAACATCAAATGGCAAGCGTAATGAAAGCAGAACGAAACTGCGCTACTCGTTATGTGCTTCACGGATCGTTTATCAATTCGGACCAGCAACATCTGTGCAGCGCGAGCCGATCTCCATCAAGCACTGTTACTACACAGCGCTAAGAGATCCGGTAAAGAAAACATTTGAATTCACCACTGAGGTAATAACATCGCTGCGAGATCTAGTGAGATGCATTCACATTTCTCCGTTATTAACCGTAGATCTCTATTAGATCAAACAGCGCTGTCATGGAAACCAGGAGAAACATTGTGCCGTGAATGAACTAGTAATACTTTACGTCCACCAGCAACATTCACCATGGATTTAATATAGTAACACTAACTGGAACCAGTCTGGCTGGAATGGTGAAATGCTTTCAAGTACTTCACACATCTTCCAGCACTTCAAAATTCAAACATTATCTAAATAAATATATATATAAATGTTATTTTTAATGTGATGACCAAAACATTATTTGTTCATCCTTCAAAGATGACCCCCATGTATAAACCTGAAAGTTTCAAGATCTAGGAAAACTCACACTTATTTAAAAATATTTTTTCTTTAAACAAATAGAAAATTTCTCTGGCATTTCTTTCTTTTTGCTGTATCGAAAACGTACCGAACCGTGACTTGAAAACCGAGGTACGTACCGAACCGTGATTTTTGTGTACCGTTACACTCCTACTCCTAGGTGATTCATCTGATCACCACCAAACTCAGTCAGCATGAAGTCAAGACATTGAGGAGGCTAAATTGCGAGCAAATTTTTATATATCACGAAAGGTTAGGCCGTGGCGGGGCAAGACATTTATGGCGAAAAAAGGGAAACCGGAAGTGTGAATCATTATTTGAATGATTATTTGAATCAAGCACTGAATTTAACTACTGCTCCAAAGGGCTTCATACAATTTATTAATAATTTTTTTTATAATTAATGCATTATGGGCAAGTTAAATATATGCAGATTTTGTGTTATCTGGTTGAAATAAAGAAAGAAAATCAAATGTAATACATAGTACAACCACTTGATAGAAGCATAGGCCTATTTTTAATGGAGTTGATAAAAGTCTTGTTGCTGAGAACAGTGATTTCAGACATAATTAATTATTTTTTATTACTTATTGCATTTTTGTGCGTGTGTGCTGTGCGCGTATATATATACAGTCAGTGACAGAAAGTAGTATGTATGTATATATATATATATATATACACACACACACACATACTACTTTCTGTCACTGACTGTTTAGATTTGGCTTTTTTGTAAACTAACTGGTAAACAGGCTCCAATGTATCCTTTGATCTCACTCTGCCTCTGTGTGTGTGTAAGTCTATTTTATACTTTTGATGGTTTACATTTTAACCATTTCATTGCTGTTTGATTCCCCCTGCATTACAGGATAAGAAATCCCTAAGGATTTAGGACAGGGATCGAAAACGCTTGTCCTGGAGTGCCACTGTCCTGCAGAGTTTAGCTCCAACCCTGCAAAAAAAACTCACCTGCCTTTAGCCTTAAGCCCTTTTCGGACGTTTCTCATGGTGACATAATGTATTTTCAAAATGTATGTGATTTTATTGCCATCTGAATTCAGAATATCAGTGTTTTGCTCCAACCACCTGCATAAAAATCCCAACTTTTTTTGGGACACCAAGGTCATGTGATAATTGAAATTGCCTTCCGAATCCACATCTCTGAATTGCCAAGAAGAGATCACTTTAAAATTCACAGTTTAAATCCTTTTTGACCATTGCAGAGCACCGTACGATAATTGTTGTGCTTCATTGTAATTTGCATGCATTTTACAGATGAACACTTTTATTACTGAAATGCTGGAAAGTATTTCAAAGAAAAAAGAACAATAAGGAGAAAGAGAAAAAAAAGCACCTAAACATTTGAAATCAGCCATTATTGTGGCAGCAATACATGCAATACAATTTTAAAAATATGTATTATCTACATTTATATACATTAAAAATATAAACCAAGCAGCTTTGTTTACCTCGTGTAAATAAGAGGTTGCATTAACTAATTTTTTGCTAATTAAAATGAGTCAGAAAACCATTTCAACTATATGCTTCTATAAGTATATAACTAAATAATAAATAGGACATTATTTTGGGACAGCAGACCATCATGCAACGAGTTCCCAGGTATGTAGGATCACAGAAATCGCTCTTCCACGTGAATAAATCACCATCCGAAAGCAAGAGGTGCCATGCACATTGATTTTTTACAGACGTCCACATTAGAGACAATTACCATTGGAGTAGGGCTTTAGTAATCCTGAAGACATTGATTAGCATGTTCAGGTGTTTGATTAGGGTTGGAGCTAAACTCTTCAGGACAACGGCACTCCAGGACCGACGTTGCTTATCCCAGATTAGTTTTAATGACAATATAAAGGCATATAAACAGTTTATTTGTAGTGCATTGATAACATTGTTTCACAAAATTTAATTATTAATAAGTTTAATAAAAATATATATTTTCTAAAACTTAAGATAAATACTTCTGGACTTCCTGGGCCATGAAACTTTGACTTGGCATGACTTGGTAACTTTACAGACCTTTCATGCTCAAACATCAACAATACACACACAAAAACAAGTTGAAAAAAAGCATAATAGGTCCACTTTAATTAATAGCAGTAGATGAATGAGATTGCGTTTGGGAATGTCTGGACACTCACCAGGCGGCCTTTCTCACTGTCAGGGAGGTAGCAGTGTCTTGGAAATCCACGAGCTGTGAAGGGTTTCCCAGGGTTGGGATGCTCTGGGCCCTAAAACAATTATAGACCGAGCCGTTTAGACCTACATTGTAGTTATATAACTTATGCATGCAGTTATATAACACTGCAGCAGTGCAATATACGATGTAGGTGGCACAAACGCCAATATGAATGGATGCTCTGGACACTGCAGGGGTTTTTAACGAGCCCACTTGTAAGTGAGTGACTCTTACCTGAATGCCAGGGGGTATGTTGTAGATAATCCGGATGGTTTTGCAGTCAGGGTGTCCAGGAAGGGAGTGAGGAATGACGTGGTATTCCATCTTGCCCGGTGGCTGGTTGCCGGTTTTAACACCGTAGATGGTTTTGCAGGTGGGACACTGAAGGCTGCCGTCTTTGTTGCCGTTGTTGTACATGGCCACCAGGCACTGCAGGTGGTACTGATGTCCACACTGAGACAGACGACCAACAGACTCTGCCCGAGATATGCCACCGACACCTGGCCCTTTATAGCCAGATGGACCACAGAGAGACTCCATACAGATAGTGCAGTCCTAAGAAATATACAAATAGATAGAGAACAAGAACACAATTAGTTTAATTCAGTTTAGTTAATCTAATGATATATATTATATCTTAATTATAATTAAAAATATCAGTCATGTTTGTCACCTCCTCAGGTGGGTTGCGGACTTTCTGGAGATATCTTCTAACAACTTCTTCTGAAGTTCTACCTGCTCAAATGAAAGAAAAGTAAGTTTAAACAAATGAGGATTTAGATAAATAATCTGTCACACATTTTATTATTATGTATTATATATTGTTCATACATGCATAGACTACTGGTCAAAAGTTTGTTATTATACGTACAGTAGTGTCACCAAAGCTGCATTTATTTGATCAAAAATACAATAAAACCAGAAATTTTGTGAAATATTATTACACTATTACTTAAAATGACAGTTTTATATTTTAATATATTTTGAAATGTAATGTATTCCTATTATGGCAAAAGCTGAATTTTCAGCATCATTACAGTCTTCACTGTCAAATCATCCTTCAGAAATCTCTGTTTTTTCTTTCTTTCTATATATATATATATATATATATATTAGGGCTGTGCAAATATTAATTGCGTTTAATCGCATCCAAAATAAAAGTCTGTGTTTACATAATATATTTGTGTTTGCTGTATATAATTATTTATAAATACACACACATGCATGTATATATTTAAGAAAATGTGTTATTCATATATAAAATATTTATATAATATAGATTATGTATTTATATATATATATATATACAGAATTTAAATGCAAATAATTCTTAAATTTATACATGCATGCATAGGTATTTATACAAAATAATTATATACAGCACACACACATATTATGTAAACACAGACTTTTATTATGGATGCGATTAATCGCAAATAATTTTTGCACAGCCCTAATATATATATATATATATATATATATTTGTGCTGTCAAATCAATTACTTGTGATTAATCTCATCTAACATAAAAGTTTGTAAATATGTGTGAATGTGTATAATCTATGTATATGAATGTATATATATATATATATATATATATATATACATATACATAAATTACATACACACACACACATATATTAGTGCTGTCAAACCAATTAATCATGATTAATCACCTCGAACAAAATGTTGTTTAAATTACATAAACACATATACATATATAAGCGCTGTCAAACCAATTAATCACCTCGAACAAAATTTTGTGTTTTATATATATATATATATATATATATATATATATATATCACTGGAATCCTAATGAGCCAGTGATATATACAGTATATATATATATATATATATATACACACACACACACACACACACACATATGTTTATGTTCGATGTAATTAATTGGTTTGACAGCACTAATATACTATATATATATATACTATAGTATAATATATATATATACACTAAAGTATATATATATATATATATATATTATAATGTGCATAACCTAACCTTTGCGGGCCTGCTTCTTTGAGGTTTTCCGGCAGCAGTGTCCGAGGCCTGGCACAGGTTTGATGTCGCTCTTGCTGACAGGTGGGGGGTGGAGCACAAGTTTGGGTGGGCGGGTCAAGCAGACTGGGAGTCCAGCGGCGCTCATTAGGATCCCAGTGATACCTAACCAAAGACAAGAGAGAATTACATCTGTTTGGCATTCATCTATTTTTAGGTTCATTGTCTTTTGTTACAAAATTATTCCAAATATGTTACTATATTTAATCATCACAGGCACTATTTATAACTTATTTGCATATTGTTTCTCACCTGCCAAAGCTGGATGGACAGGACTGGATCCATTCAAGTTCTTCACTGGGACGGTGGGGACT